GGGGGGGGGGTCGCAAGGGTGGGGGGATCACACAAATTTGCGGTTTTCACGCCGCAGGCATCGCGGGTCTCTCACAACGGAAGGCGCAAGTCCATTAAATTCATTGATCTTTCCGTGCGCCTCGGATTAGAGGAAGAGCAATGACCAATCAATCACAAATTAAAGTTGTCTCATTACTATCTAGGTACAATTAAAAATTAATTAATGGGTGAACGAATTTCAATTATGAGTAATCGGATTATGATCAGGGGCTGGGGGGGGGCCAAGGGAAGGAAAAGTATTTGGAAGGGTTCACGTATTCGATTAGGTCTTGTCGGGGTAAGGGTTATCATTGTCATCTTTCTTTTTTTTTTGATGATGGAGGAGGATGAAAGAATTAATTATACGGTAATGCCGATCGATCCTCGTTAACGATTGATCGTTATTGGTAATAAAATCTTGTGTGTGTGGTATGCGTGGTCAAAGATTGACAGCGCCACGTGAAATTTTTTTTTTAAGGGGGTACGTTAATCTTGACGTAGAACAATTTCTACATAATATACATACATATATATATATATATGTATGTACGTGTGGTACGTATTCGCGAGAGAGCTTTCAGTACCCCCACGTGACTGGAGCGATTAAATACGCAAGTAGTAACGAAAAGAAAACAGACGGTAAACGAGGGTGGTTTTTTTTTTTTTCGAGAATCTCCATTATTCTTTCCATTCTCAAACGGTTGCCGACAATCTCGGGCAATAAAGCCGCGTTTCTCGCGGATGGCATGCTTTTGTTAGCTACCCTGGCTAGCGTTATAATTATCGTAATTATTATTATTATTATTAATATTATCATACATAGGTGTAGGATGGATTGCGCTGTGCTTCATTTTTTTGTTTTTTTGTTTTTTTTTCCTTTATTTTCCCCCCTTTCTTCCGCGAGAGCTTTCGCCTCGCGACGTCCAGCGAGACGCCCGTCGCTCCGTTAACGAAAACAAGACGAGCCCCGCTTGTCCTGTCGCGTTTTGTTTTCTTTCCTTCATTCATCTTTTTTTCCCCAAAACGCGACGGGAGAAGCTTGCGTAAAAAAGCACACGACCATTCGACCCGAGAGGCACGTACCCCTCTCTGTCCCCCACCTGTGTCCGTTATACATACAAAACGTAATTGTCGTTATCATATGTGCGTGAAAGATATTACGTTATCACGAGAATAAATTCTCTTTGACGCGTCACCACCGTCTAGAGATTAAACAGCGTTATCGCGGTATGCTTGTTTTTTTAGTTGTTAACAAACGTCGTTATTGTTATTATTAGTAACATTCATTGCGGCTGTTATGTTGCAAGTAGCGAGGAAGAATTTGAACTCGCGTGAGTACGTGTTTCGAATGTTGTTTTTTTGTTGTTTTTTTTTTCCCCCTCTAAATCACCACCACGCGAACGATATACTGGCAGCCTCAGAGAGATCGAGGTTTTTACGTGTAGCGATCAAGACGTTTTAATACTTCATTTTTTTTTTTTCTTTCTTTCTTTCGTTTTCGCGTTGGGAGAGATTAAGAGTAGTCGCCGGGATACATCAGTGGTGCCAATAGGGACTTAGGCCCACTTGTCGACGACCACTTCGCCCACTGTAACAAAACACACGAGATATATGCTGATTAGTTGCGTGAAACAAAGCGGCGCTGGCTCTCTGATTCGTTGGTATTAGCAAAAACTCTATATATATATACATATATAAAACAGATATGAGATACACAAGATATACGGCGATAGCGATATTGCAGTACGCATGTGATACTGCAGACGGCGATACTAGTAGCAGCGGCAACAAAAAAAAAAACAACTACGGTGAAACAACAACAATGGTAATACGTTGGTGAGCAAGTAGCAGCAATACTGTCAACGTGCGGACAGCAACGCAACCTACGGAACCTTTGTGGGCAAGACTTCGTCCACCATTTAATTCGGATGACCCATCCATCCGCGTCTACCGTTTGGTTAGTTTTCCTTAAAAGATTAAAAAAGAGGTGGTACGGGGATGGGGATCGATCGTGATATTCTAATCAGGTTGAATTTTATCGATGGGAATGAAGAACAGGGGCGTAGAATGGGGGTACCGTCGTGAGGATGATCAATGGAATATCGCTGGCATACACTCGTTCGTTTTCTCAGGCTTTCTCACACGTGGGGGGGTAGAGTTCAGGGGTAAGGAGGGGATGGTAAGGTTAAGGGTACTTCATCCATACCAAAGGGGATGGATAAGGACGATTCGAATGAATGCTGGTGTGGTTATGAAGGGGGTCTTTGTCGAATTGTATAACTTTTCTTTCATTTTTGTTTGCAGGCTCTGATTTAGGGGCGAGGGAAGACACCATCGGATGGGGTAATTATTCGCAAAAATAATTGCGATACTCCAAACGCGTCTGCCACTAGCGATCGCTCGACTGTGCGACTCGTTGGACGATTTTCGCGCGTTGGAAACACTCCTATCGATTTTTCGCTGCTCTCCGATCCGGACTCTTATTTCTTCAGTAAGGGCGCTGCGAACATAGTGGAGAACGTGTTATTGGGTGTTGCTCGTGGGCTGAATTGGCCTCGGCGATTGATACGCCGAGGCGATGGAAAATTGTTCTTATATTTAAGTTTTCTTTTTTTTTTTTTAACGACAAAACTTTTCGCACAAGCGCTTTTCGTAAACGTATGAACGTGTTTGTATTGAAATTTATACGAACGATTTTATTTGATTTGAAAAAATTGTACGTGAAAGTTTTGTCGTTAAAATTATTATTTTTTTTTCTTTTAACATAATTATATGTACACGTAAATCGATTTTACTCGAGATAATCTGCTGGATGCTAGGCTGTTTCGTGCAGGCGAAATATATTTGTTAAACTATGTATAAAATATATATATATATTTAGTAGTATTGTATATGCATAAGTATGTAGTAAGATTTACCTTGGTATTATTTGATGCGTCTGCGTCTCTCTCGTACACGATGTACTGAATCAGGACACACACAATCGGCAGGCAGGATGAACAGTGGTGAGAAATTGTAAGAAAAAATAACTAACTGAACACACTGGACTCTCGTGTACCGGAGAGCTACGGGTATACAGGTATGTGTATTAATTTTTGGGTGAAATCCAAAGGACAATAATTTGATTGATCGATGGGTAATTAATCGGATGAATGATAATCATTATATATTGGCCGATCATGCACAAACTATATGTGAATGATGATTGTTACTAGAAGTATAATATTTTCGTTGTTTCTTTAAAAGGAAGGATATATCACGCAAATCAAACGGATGCAGGTTATGTGACGATGAGATGTGCACTGTTGTGAATACATCGTCGTTACGGTGTTGTAAACATTATAACTTTATTGTCTGACCCCACGATCCATAAATACTTGAATTAAATTAGCTGTACAGGATTTGTGTCGCGACAATCGCTAACGCTTTGCTCTTTGACTTACATAAAAAACAAAACAAAAAAGAACAGTAAAATAAAAAATAACATCCGTGTCTCCGCCGATCGATTCGACCCGGCCATCTTGTCACATTCCTGTCAGCGAGAGACACGGATACGCGCTTACGCCAATTCACGATAGAACGCGAACCTAGCGTCACTTTAGGAAACTACGCGCTGAACCGTTTGACGCGGGTAAATTTGAAAACAAAGAAATACAAAAAGAACTGTACCACAGGGACACAGCAAGTACAAACGTAAAGAAGAGACGGAGATTGCGCATTATTAACGTGAAACAAGTTTGAAGAAAAATTTTTTATATAAAAAGAGGCCAAAACATTTTTTTCAAAATTTTAGACGAGCCAGCAGAAATTAAATGCGAAACACTTTTTTTTTTCATTCAAACTACAGGACACTGATCGCGTTAATTAGTAGGTACTAATTAAGTATACTCAACGGGATCATACGCTCTGAAGACGATTACCTCCTCGCGTATGTAAACTTCGTGTCGCTTCGTGAGTATATTTAAATTAAAAGAAAAAAATTTCTTCCCTCTTACTCGTGACTCCCAAAATTAGGCCGATCGCACAGACTCCAAGGGACACGCATTAGTGACACAAGATTTTATTATAACAAGTTAGCTGACAAATCAACGATAATACGAAAGACGGCTTCTCCGAGGCCGTCCCCGATTTCACGGCTAATTCTTCGCTTGTTATAATTAAATTTTCAGTTCATTCGATTGTTTGGCAATTAATCATTAGTTTTATTTTACTCCCTCGGGCTACCTATACTCACTCATCCTCCAGCTAATCGATCGTCACGCAGGCACGCGACACGAAGGATAAATAGAAAATGATAAATAAGAAACAAAAAAATCGTTGCTAGTTTAAAGAGTCAAGTCACGCGGGACGCGCATGCGCGCTCGAGACAAAGTCCCACGTGACTCGCTTCCACGAATAATTACAATAAATTGGGAATCTACGATCCCGACTAAGGATGGATGATAGTGTTACATTTTAATGAGGTCAAGAGTTTTATCTTGCTTTTCTCTAACCCTCTTTCGCATTCGGTTAG